GTCACAGGGTCCCATTAGCAAGTGTTTCATGGTCTATCAAGTAGAGTGGTGCTTCCATTTCCTCATCTAGAATTGTGATAATGATGTTATAATTCAGGGATACCTGTTCACTGCAAGAACTGTGATGACATTTGCAGCTGGTGTATTTGGTTTTGTTATTCTTTAGTTTACTGTTTCACGTACTAGATTGAGGAATGCTTTTTTTTTTTTAAAGAGTTTTCTTGGAGTAAATTATAAATACCGTATGACTATATCAACTTTCCAGAAGATGTGATTAAAAAAAAAAATTAGTAAGACCAGAAGTTATCGCAGTAGCAGGGAGAAAGCCAGAGGAATGAATGACGGTGGTGTGAACTTGGATGTAATTGTGTGACATAAGAGAACCAAAGACTGGCAAATCTGGGGAGATGTCTCCTGGGGAGATGGTAAAGTGCTTGCTGCCCTGAGGATCTGAGTTCGATTCCAAGAGCCCACTTTAAAAAGCCGGGCATTGTTTCGCATACGGGTGATCCTAGTGTTGGGAGGCAGAGACAAGAGGATCCCTGAGGCTGTCTGGGCTGCTAATCCAGCTGAATTTGTGTGCTTCAGACTTAGCGAAAGACCCTGTCTTAAAAATATGAAGTGGAAAAGTGGTAGAAGAAGATGCCAGATGTTGCTATCACAGGCTTCACAGCCAGGCATTATACTCAAGGTTTTTTTTTTACTTCTGTAGATCTTCCTAAATTTTATAATATTCTGTATGGTAACTTTTCTAAAAATACAGAGATTTATGTTAAACGATACACTAATGTGCTGCATTGACACTATTCTTGCCATGTAGTAGTTTGAACCCAGGACCTTACACATGCCAAAATAACCAGGAGTGGCATTCCAAACTTTGACTCATTTCTTTAAGTATGGGGATTTAGTTGACAGGAAATTGTCTTACTAAATCCGCAGTGAGATTTCAAACAGTGATCTCCATGGAGGGAAACTCAGTCCCGCAGTTCTTTTAAAAATGTCATCAGAGGAGAGGTTACTTTGTGACTACACTTTAGAACCATATTTTACCCCTGAAAGTCAAGACCAGTAACTCTAGTCAGACACTAAGTACTGTGTGGCACTTGACTTCACAAACTGGCAAGACGTTTCAAAACATGCAAGCACAAGTTGGTAAATAACCCTTATCAATGGTTTTGATTAAAAGTATGATGCTGGAAGGGTACAGATCTGTCCCTTGGACTTCTGTTTCAGCTGTGCGCTGTTTTCAACTCTCACTGTCAAAACTGACAGTAGGCCAAAACAAGGTGTAAGGAAGCAAAAGCTGTGTTTGTTTTTCAGCTCTAGCAGGCCTGGTTTAAGTGGGTACAGTTCCGGAAGATGTAAATTCTTCATGGATGCAATAATGCAATAATCTGTTGGATTCCCGTGGCATTGCTCAAGTGTTGACTCATTTGATAATGATTTAAAAACTACATTTTTCATTTTCTGGCAGCAGGACTAGGTGGGTTTTATCTTACAAAGAAGATACACAGAGAGAAGGGTGAAGTAGATACTGATGTGGTGATGAAATTTTGTCAGAGTGTAATTTCCTGCTACAAAATCTCTGACAGGTGCATCACATTTCTGGGTTCAACAAGTTATCCCCCAGAGATGTAACTGGAGAGAACATCGCTGTGTGACAGAACATCAACACTTGATATTTGCAGTGTCTTCTGTTAAGGAAACGTGTTGCCGTTTTGTTTTCAGTTTGTGAATAGGACCAGTGAGCTCTTACATTTGGGAAGCGGCATGGCCACGTTTGGTTATGGGGGGTTGGTATCTGCCAACTGAGCCTGTGCATATCCAGTATATTGCATGTACATATGACTGTGTCATGTTTGCTGTTGCTTGTTATGGTATTTGTCTTTGCATTTGTGTTTATCAACGGTATTTATTGAATTTGGGTGACTGTGAGGCCCTCGTGAGTAACATGGGCACCTAGAACCTCCTCCCTTTTTCTCGTGCACTGGGTGTGGCAGGCTCAGCCTGTCTAGGTTGCAAGAGTGGAGTGAGAAGGATGTGGGAAGCCTCGTAAAGCCTCTGAGAAGTCTTCTGTGAAAGACGCGGTTTCCCTGATGCGTGAGAAGAACTAAATCTTTGCAGCTTCAGTCTTGATGCTCTCCGGCTTTAGATAATGGGTTCCTGGGAACCCTCAACCCTGCTTATTCAGCCCCTTTAGTCGCCATATCTGGCTATGAAAGCTTTTTGGCTGTCTCTGAAGATCAAATGTGCCTTCCAAGAGCTAAGACCGGCTGCTGTAGAGACCACGGGAGAGACCATGTCTGTGGTGGAGAAGACAGTTCCAGAAAGAAAGGGGAGCTTGAGGAGGCATTCCACAAACACTGCCACAAACAATGGCTGCATGATTGGAATGAATATGCTGCCTCCAAAAGGGCCATGGTGAAGGACAGTTCTCACTGAGGGTTGTTAATTTAAAAAAAAAAAAAAATCTGTGTCATTATCTGACAGTCAGCCTTTATATGCAGTCACAGGTTCATACCATTGTACAAAGCCAGGCAGGTGTGGACTTCAGACTTCCTCTATAGCCCTCTGTTCCCTCCTCCCCACATCACCTACAGCTTTTACTTTTTCGTAAGTTTCTACGTCGGTGACACCAATAGGTAATACGTGTGGCTGAAGCGTGTGTTGGCAAGGATTGATAGGAAAACCATTTTAAAGTAGTACGCTAAGAGTTTGGAAGGAAGGCATTTGATGTAGGCGTGTGTTCTCTCTCTCTCTCTCTTTTTATTCCCTGCCTTTTTGAACATGCTTACACAAAATTATAAGCATGGCACCTGACGGTGCAAAGTAATCCGTTTAAGCCCGTAGCAAGGCCACATTTTTGTCTCTCCTCCAAGGGTCCCCTAGTCCCTGCCCTGTATGCTCATGCTGTTTGGCACGTGTGATGATAAACCTGGGTACAGTTTGTTCCTGACCTAAGCTGTTCATTCAGGCCTTCTGGAGGAGAGCCAGATATGAAGTGAAAAACATGCTGCGTGCCCTCCATTCTCCCACCCCCTCTGCATTGTATATTTGGCAGTTTCTTTGTGGTGAGTTATTTCATATAGTGTGGTCCACCTGACTGATTTTAGGTCCAGAGCTGTGAAGCTCTTTTCTAGGTGTCTCTTGATATTCTGAAGGGAGTTAAAAGAAAATGAGAAGCCTGGAGCTTGGCTGGCAAGTTTCATAGCCCAGCTGGGGCTGTTGGAAGGGTGGCCTGGTCCTTTCTCCTCCTGAAGTAAGTCCTGTCTCACTGTAGTGTACGTGAGAAACCCAGGACCCTTTCATTTGTTTGTTTTCGCTTTGGCATTTCTATTCTGAGTCTGTCTTGGTAAGTAAAAAAGTACCTTGTCTCTTAGAGGCAGAGTTAATATTTTTAAATAAATAGAAATCTCCTCCTACAATGAGAGTCTTCATTTGGTAAACTTCGACTCGTCTGAAATCCATTATGTAAATAGTAAATGTTAGTGGCCCAGAATCATAGTCAATCTCTTCAAAAGGAGGTAGAGGCTGGGCTTGTTGGTACACACCTCCTCTAATCCCAACACTGGAAAGGCTGAGGCAGAAGGATTGTGAGTTCAAGGACATCCTGGACCTCATAGCAACACCCAGTCTCAAACGCAAAACTAGGGAGAGGAGAGGGAGAGAGGAAAGACAAGTTGTGTTGGTCAGCATTTGTGCATGTGAGTTTTAGAAACCACTCCCCTCCTTGGATCTCATGTGGACCTTGATCTTATCTGAAGGCATCGCCTTTGTTAGTCATGGAATTAGATAAGAGACATCCAGGGCTGTCCATTGAGGTTTTTAGTATGTACCTGCCTGAGTTCTCTACATTTAACTCCATATGTCCTGTGAGGTCTTTATCAATCCTGTAAAACTGCATTCCTCTGATAGAGTATGCATTGCTGGGCTCTTACCGTCACAGGTCTTTGGCTATCACGTCTTCAATGGCAAGCCTGTGGCACACCTGCCCTTTGTTGGGCTCACACTTATTAAGTGCCTGCTGTGTGGGAAGCCTTGTACAAACACCAGGGCGAAAATCCCTGTTTCCACACCCCGGATTATCCCCTTTCTTCTGAATGCAGCCAAATGTGTCAGTAAGGTACTTAGCTAATATTGTTAGCTAAAAGCACCCTTCTCTCCTTTGTGCAGCTAGAATTTTCCTTCTGTGCACCTGTTGTGAAATTCACCTGTTTGCTTCACTTTCTATCAAGGTACAAATAAAACTGGTTTGCCTTTCTGGAACTGCTAGGAGGCAAACTTCAGCACAATTCAACTTTCCACACTCCGTGGCATTTTAATAAAACCACTTACTCATTCAACAAATTTATGACAATCAGCTCTGCTTCGCTACAGAATGTTTGGGGCACTCTGTATATACTGATATGTATAGACTCAGTTCTGAGTGTATAAAAATAGGTACTCCCGAAGGACTGTCTGATGTAAATCTTGAGAGCAAGAGGTGCTTTCAAGGGATCATAAATGGTCTCCTTTCTGAAAGAGAATTACAGATAATGCCCTATTCTGGTCAGCTTTGTTGAACTGCAGAGAAGAAATGTAATGTTTTTCCCTAAGGAAATTTCTATGCCACCTAAATTAGAAGCCTGATTTTAGGCTCTAACTCTTCCTTATGTTTGATAGTATTTCAAGAACTAGAATGTACATTTTTGTTTCAATCATAACCTCAAAGACTTTTGTGTTTATTTGTTGCCAAAACTCTGAAATGTATGCATCAGGTTGATGTGTTTGCTGTTTTGGAATTGACTACTTTTAGTTTGTGATTACTGTAAACACTTGTATCTTGAAAGAAAAGTTAAATACAGTGTTTTGATTTCATGTAGGTACACGCTACTCCTTGTGCCTACAACTTTAGTTGGTCTCATCCAGCCTCCCTTCTGAAAGGGGTGCGCACCCCAACTTGTGATTGAATACACATTTCCAGATGCCTGTGGTGACATTTTTCCCCACTTTCTTTGCAGAATGAAGACCTAAATGACCTCAGCAAATCCTCCTTTTAACTCATGGGTACCCAGACTCGAACTATTTCACGATTCACAACCAGGACCTCACGTCTTCCTCCTCAGTAGATGGTACGATGCATTTGTTTACCTTGTACAATCCTCAGGAGTTCACTGACTGAACTGCACGTTCTGTATTGTGCCAAGCAACGAGAAAAGCACTGTGACACCGGAACAATGAGTCTGTGTAAACGTCATCTTGAACTTTAAGGACTTAGCTGGCCGAGATGTGCTGGTGTGCGCCTCCACCCGCCTTGCTGCAAGAGAATGGGTTTACTCTCCTCGAATTTACAACGTCTGTTTCATCTACTCGGAGACCATGTTCCATGAAGCACCGCTGTAAATTATTTCATGTGGGACTGTTCACGTTGGGTGGAGAGAGTATTAAATATTTAACATAGGTTTTGATTTATATGTGTAATTTTTTTAATGAAAATGTAACTTTCCTTACAGCACATCTTCTTTTTGGATGTGGAACTGAGGTATTCAGTGTTCTCTTATAAAGAGTGGAGCAAATGCTTAAAACAAGGCTAGAAAGAGTAGACTAGGGTATAATCATCCTTGTTTTAAGATTCTAATTCAGAAAAAATAATATAATAAGAATCATAGTGCCATAGAAGGTTCTGGACTGTATAGTTATACTTGCTGATACTGTCTCTTGTAATATAAACTTGATGTTGAGCTGAGTTCCTTTTAAGAATTAATCTTAGTTTTGTATTTTTTTTTTTCCAAATGGAAGGAGAATGTATTCTATTGGGGTGTTTTCAAGTGTCGGCTTAGAATTGGTAATTGAATGGAAGCGAAACTGCAGAAAAAAAAGAAAAAAGAAAGAAAAGAAAAAGAAAAAAAAAAGGAAACCACAGACTTCCACTGTATATACTGTAGAGAGAAGGAAACATGAGTGATTCCTTCAGCTTAAAAGCTCTCTTTGGAATGAAGAATGTGGGTGTTTCTAAATCCTGGAAATGTCTCTTTGTTCATAATAAACTAGATGCTGTTGGTCCCCCCTCCCCACTTGATAAGCTTTTCACCCTCACCCTCATTCTTTTTTTT